CAGTTTTTAAAAGGTGAAGAAAGGAAGACCCGGGAACTGCAGGCTGGTCAGCCTCACCATGGTGCCCAGCAAGATCATGGAGCAGATCCTCCTGGAAACTATGCTAAGGCACATGGAAAATAAGGGTGATTGGTGACAGCCAACGTGGCTTTACTGAGGGCAAATTGTGCCTGACAAATTTGGTGGCCTTCTATGATGGGGCTGCAGCGGTGGTGGATAAGGGAAGAGTGACTGACATCATCTACCTGGACTTGTGCAAGGCACTTGACTCTGTCCTGCAGAGCATCCTTGTGTCTAAACTGGAGAGGCATGGATTTGACGGATGGAACACTGGATGGGTGTGGAATTGGCTGGATGGTCGCACTCAGAAGAGTTGTGATCAATGGCTCAAGGTCCAAGTGGAGATCAGTGGCAAGTGGTTTCGCTCAGGGTCAGTGTTGGGACCAATCCTGTTCAACATCTTTGTCAGCCACATGGGCAATGGGATTGATGCATTCTGGGCAAGTTTTCCAACAACGCCGAGCTGTGTGGTGCTGTCAACATGCTGGAGGGAAGGTATGGAAACTAGAGGCACTTTGACACACTTGAGAGCTGGGCCAGTGCAAACCTCATGAAGTTCAACAAGGCCAAGCGCAAGGTCCTGCACGAGGGTTGGGGCAATCCCAAGCACAAATACAGGCTGGGCAGAGAATGCATTGAAAGCAGCCTTGAGGAGAAGAACTTGGGCTCTCATGAGACCCCACCTGGAGTATTGTGTTCAACTTTGGGGCTCCCAACACAAGAGGGATGTGGACCTGCTTGAGTGAGTCCAGAGGAGGCCGCAAAGATGATCAGAGGGCTGGAGCACCTCTCCTATGGAGACAGGCTGAAAGGGTTGGGCTTGTTCAGCCGAGAGAAGAGAAGGCTCAGGGGGACTTCAGAGCAGCTCCCGGTGCCTCAAGGGCCTACAAGAAATCTGGAGAAGGGCTTTGGACAAGGGCCTGTAGAGAGACAGGCCAAGGGGAAATGGCTTCACCAAATTGTTTTGTTTTAAACCCATGGGGCCATTGGAATTACACAAGTGAGGTATTTGGCCATCATACTTAGGGTTTAGAAGTGCTGAGCACCCGTAAATCCAAATGAAAGCAAGTCACTGCAAGTTTAGCATCCTTATGTCTCTCAAATTAGGCTATAGTAGATTCCGGAGTGCAAGTGTAAGGTTGGCATCAAGAGAGAATTTTTTTTTTTTTTTCTGAAGTAGCTAGAGCATCCTTGAAAATTGATCATTACTATACAGTGAAATGGGAAACCATACAACTTCTAGGTTCTCTATCCATAGTCATACTGTACTTTAATCCCCAGCTTCCACACCAATAAAATTGTGACAATAAAGCTTCATTACCCTATACTTAAATATATGCTAATATATGATTTTTGCTTTTTTGTAAAAGGGCATTGTACTGCGGTTTATCTCATAACTGTACATTTTAGTTATAGAAGCAGAGAAAAGAAAGAACAATGAAGCTATCAAAGATCTGGAAACATTCTGGAAGTACCTGGAACCAGTTCTGAACAGTGGAAAGCCTGGATCAAGTCTCTTTGATGTTGCCACACTTCATCATGTAGTTAAGGAGAGTGCCTTTCCCCCTGATTGGTCTGACAGAGAAATGCTGGTCAGTAGAGTCTGCTTTCAGAACACATGGCATGCTTTAGGGCTTGTAACATTTAAGACAGTTTAGAAATGACAGGAATTTTAGTTTAGTCTTCTATGAAACAGAACCAGTGTCATTAATATGTTTTTAATCTTGATCAGAAGTTATTTTCTTGTATCAAACAAGTTTATTCAGCATGTATTCACAAAGAATCCTTTCCATAAAAATACCTGACTTGGAGTTTCTTAATATCATATGCCACAGCAGCAGAATTTTACAACGATTCAGGATACTAAATTTATTCAGCATCTTTACATAGACCCAGTTTGGATCTCATTAGAGAGTCAGATGTCTGTAAAAACAACACCAACGTTATAGTTTTGTCCTCATAACAGTAGGTTAACTTACTGTATTTCAGAACACTCACATTCATTTTAATTTGGTTTCATGTGAGAATGCTTTTTGATAGAAGATGCTGCTTTAGCATACTCAGTACCCCCTTGTTTTGTCCAACCCAAAACATGGCTCTAGCATATTACTCATTATCACCTGCTGAGTCAGGACTATTATTGGGCACTGCAAGTGAAAGTGAAGCAGTAGTAATTGTTCCAGATTCTCAAATATAGTGAGGTAAAGGGTCAAATATTTTTCAATCCACAATGGCAGCAGTAAAAAATATAAATTGCTAAAGCAAAATAAAGCAATATGCCATAATTCAACCTCCTGTATTTGTGGTCTGTATTATTAGGGTTAAAGGATAGACTACATCCTCTTAACACTTATTTATTGTACACTAAATCCTGTATATAAATAATCTGGTGAACTAGGAAGTACACTTGATCCTGAGGGGATCAGAACCAAGTTTGGCTAAATCCACAGTGGTTTCCAAGGCAGACACTAAAAATGCCTCAATTAAGGAAATGTGTAGGCTTGCTACTTACAACATCACTTATCGTTATATTATTGACTTAATGTTAAAATATTCAGCCTATTGTGGGAAAGAAGTTTTTTATCTTATATATCTTTCGAATAACCACATCATATCAGGGACTGTTGCTACTGGTGAATATCCTGCGAGCAGCTATATTATAGCTGAAATAAAATGAAAATGAGGAAGCTTTGTTTTCGTAGAATAACTGTGTAAAACATTTTGATTTAGTGGAGAAAAAAAATCCCTTGCAAGACTTTTAAACAGTTGTAGATTTGCTGGTTAGAGAGCTAAGGATTTACATGGCTAAGTTACATCATACTTTTGTATGCAAACTTCATCCTTTGTATCTGATTTTCTGTTATAGCTTGCACTTGGCACTGTGCTGTTTGAAAGCATTGCTTGTTTGATGTATGACTGTCTGGACTGGAGAAGACAGCATCATAACTACTTGGAAAACACCAAGTTTATTAATGTGCCTGCATTATCAGAGAGGAAATTGACACAGCCACCTGAATTTGAGGCAAGGATCCTTCTCTACTTGTCAAGAACAACTAGTTGTAGGCTAGAAATGCCTGACTTTAATTCTACGCTCAAAAACTTCCCTTGGACCATCACTCCATGTGTAATTTTCTGTGAATAAAATTGGGATTTTTTTACTTCAGCATTTAAATTCTCAAAAATTTGGGGAGGGGAGAGGGGAAGTTGAGCATTGGGGAAACAAAAGAAGGAAAATTTAAAGGTTCATACAGGCATAAAGTATGACAGGTGTAAGAATTCCTCAAATAGCTTATGATGGCACCTTCTTGGGGCTGAAAACTCAACATGCCTGCACAGAGGTACTGTGTCTTGTTGCAGATCTGTGAAGTGTCAAAACAAGATTTAGTTCTGTGCAAGATCAGCTGCTTTATTTTGTTCATGGTAGACAAAAGCTTCAGTGGGCAGAAGAAAGTGGCTTATTAGGACATGTACTAGTGGCAGGGAAAAAATGGGCTTACTCCAGCTGTAGGAGTGCTACTGAATACTCATTTAAAGCATTCATAAAACTATATTCTTACTATCTTGTCCATTGAGAGTTAAATGGGATTCCTTTCCCCTAATATCAGCCGTGTAGAAGTTTAGCATCTAGTCTAGGGTTAGTGAAACCAAAGCTAAATGAATCAAAGAATTGTTTAGATTGGAAAAGACCTTTAAGATCATTAATTTCTCCCACCTGCTCATGCAATCCTCATTTGTTCTACTGTTTCTGAGTAGTTTTATCTTTATTTTTGTTCCTGTAGGTACAGTCACTATCACAGTTTACAACTTCAAAAAAAAAAGGGCAAGCAGAAGAAATTCTGCCAACACCAACTGTGTCAGAGGGTATGTCTAAAGGATTAAAGCACTCATCTGTAGCTGTTCACTCTGTCATTCACCTGAGCACAAATCCTTGACATGATTTGCACAATAAGCTGAAGATGTGACTCAATGTTGTGAGAGTAGTTTCTTGGTGAATACATTGTGAAAGTTTCTGGAAACTGCAGTGGTGATAACCAAGTTCTTTAGAAATCACTTTTTCTATCTGTTCCTAGTCACAGTCACATAGAAGAGCTCTATAGGGATGGACTTTGTTAGCCTAAGAACATTGAAGTGGTTGGTAATAGAAATTGGCATTTCTGAAGACATAGATCATAATGTTTTATCTCATATTACAACAGCTTCTTTTTTGGATACTTCTGTGGACATGAGGTATTACAATGACTTGCTGAGTCAGATTCCTGAGGAATACTTTTCTGTACCCTTAATACTGAACTGCATGTTGGAACAGGTGAGAATATTCTCTTTGTATTTCCTGTGGGTAATTCTGCATAGACCTGGTATAATGAATTGATCAGAGATCAATAAATCCATCTGTTTCAGCCAAAAATACAAGACTGCATGGAGACACTGACCAAGGGGGTTCATTACAAAGGAATCACAATTCAAAAGTGACATCTTTGGTTTTCTTTTGTATTGTGAACTTACCCTGTATATACAGTGTTATTCTAGAATCATTTTCTTCCAAGATTACAGATCAAATATAATCAAGTGAGGGAAAAAAAGTTTGGTTTTTTGGTTTTTTTTTTAAGCTAAGTCACGATATCTATTTTTCATGTTCTGATGTCCTAACACAATGTTACTGATACTGAACTTGCACTGTTTTACTTAGTACAAAGGTCTTAGGGCAAGCCTAACATAAAAGTGGCGTATATCGATGCTCATGCTAGGCAGAGCTGACTTCTCTTGAGTTCAGGCACAAGCTATGAGTTAGCAGAGCCCTACAGCATGATTTGGAAATCCGCATCCTTTTAGAAAGAAAATTTCAGTAGTCTTATTTTTTTTTACTTTTTCCAATTTAGTCTGACAATAGACCCATGCAGAACCACCCAAAATAAGGTCCAACAGCTGATACACAATCAGTTTTTCGTTATCTGTCTTCATTAACATTTCAAGTTGGAAATATCTTTCTTCTTGTCCTTCCAAAAGCAAGTAATAGGAGAAAATATTTAATTCTGTTTTCTATAAACTTGTTTTGGGCAGGAGTTAACATGGAAACTTGCATTTTGCTACAGTCCTGATAAAATTTATGGCTGTGTGTTTGGCTATTAGCAGTTCTGCTTGGTAGTTTTAAGTTAAGAAGCAGTTGTACTGTAGTGAAAGCTGACATCTATCATGTTTGCCAGGTTATCGCAAGTGAAGAAGGCCTTATACCACCTAGTCTGGTAGTACCAGAGCCTCGGGCAGATGGGCTACATCTTACCATTGCAGAACATATAGCTTCTGTTCTTCCTTCTCTTTCACTTTCTGAAAGTGAAAAAAAGGTTTGTGTTGTCTTTGGTTCATTTCCTCAAACGACAAATAAATCTCATTACTGGTGTTTAATGCATCTTTCTTTTCTCCTTTTTTAACAGAATCTATATGACTATTTTTCACCTAAATACAGTGAAGAAAAGCCTGTCACCCCGGAGTACCCTCTCTTATTTAACTACCATGATACCCTGGCTCAGCGGTTACATCTGCTGAAGGTGTGGTGCCACCTGTCATCTATAAACAGTTCTAAAATCCACAGGCTATAAACACTCAAAGCACTAAAAAGGATGTTGTTTTTACAAAGAACAGTGTAGCCTACGTTCTTTCCTCCTGAGATAGACACACTAACATGTTTAGTCTGCTTAAGAAGTGATGAGTTACTGCTACTGTCAGAGGACACATCACAGACATAAAGCATGATACTGATTTCAGTGATCTGTTGGCATTATTATTAAGAATGTTTAGCCTTTGGCATAGATGAAAGATACTACAGAACTCTGATTTACTGTAGTCAAACACTGGTGAAACTGGAAAATTAGTTACTGACTTTCTAACAGTGATTTAGAATTTGGACTAGATTAAACACTAAGATGTAGAGAAATGTAAGAAAGGGTATAAAGGTTGTTAGCAAAGACGAGAAGTGTATTCAGGTTGGCGTAATAGTTGAAACATAGTGTATAACCAAGACGTTGCCAAATTCTAACACAGGCAGAAAGGTTCAGAGACTGCAAGGTTTGGAGTTATAGCCAAGTAACAGTTTACAGACTTTGTGAACCAAAACAACACTGTGAATTTTTGTTTTTTTCTAAAGCCAAGGTGTAGTTTTGCCGTTAAATTTTGACAATACTCTGAAGATAAAACAAGTGGTAATACAGTTCTAGATTTCACAGTTAAGGGGTGTCTGCTGGCTTCATGAATTACAAATTGTCTGTGAAATACTTTGACAACTATTGATTATAACAGTATTCAGAAACAAGTTGAGCTTGATACATTGGAAGAGGCATTCAAGCAGAAGGCAGGACTGAGTAATCACTGAGGCATGCTCTGAGCAGGCATATACTTGATATGTATGATAAAGTTGCTGAAGAGGAAGTTCAGGATATAGCTCAATGAGGAGTGGATAGCACAATAATAAGTGGTGGATAGAGGAAAAAGATTTGGAAGATACAGTCCAAGAAAAAGGTACTGTAAAGTGTTTAATACTAAAAAGAACAAAGTTGGAAGATACCAGTAAGTCTCAAAACATAAATCCTTAAGTATATAGGGATGCTGCTGTCACAGACTTGATAGATGAGTTTACAGACTTCGTCACTATGAGAAGTAGCACAGACCAACTGAAAGATACGTGGAAGGGACCTATTGCCTGTCTGGATAGATCAGTATATGTTTCTGTATTTCAGAATTTTTTGAGTCTAGATAGCACAGACAGATGTCTTCTAACAAGTGTCTGTTGTTATGCTATCAGTTATTCTGTTATGTATCTCCTTTTTTTTTCTGCCTAAAGTACCTGGCAGCATAATTCAAAACCACACTGTGAGCACATGCTCAAATTTAAGTCCAGCTGACTTAAGCTGGACATAGGCATGTGCCTATGCCTTTTTCTATAAAAAGAGTTCCTTATTCAAACATAATTTTTAGAAATCCACTGCTGTGAAAGTTTACTTCAACTCTGGTAACTTTGGGGTTTGTTCCAGATCCAGGAGAACTTAAATCCAGAAAAGATTGAACAGGAAATGATGGATAAACTTCCTCTTACAGAACTTATCCGGTTAAACTTTCCCTCAGCTGAAAACAACCCTAAACGCTTGGCCAGTCTTCACGAGCTCATGCATTATTGTACCAGTGGTAAAGAGATTATCTTTTGCATTGATGAAACTTCCTTTTTTTTCATGTCCCTAAAACCTTTGCAGAATTTCCCATTTTCACATTCTCGCTTGTACCTTAGCCTACTACACAAGTTAAGGTCAACTTTAAGCCTCAGTTTCATGGTTAATGGGAAAGGCTATAGGAGTATTAAATATTGTATGACTAAGAGCTGAAAGTCTGTTAGAACTTCTTTATCTATTTATGTTCACAAACATACAAGCATTTACTAAATCTGAGGGTAAAATAAACTTGTACAAATTACAACTATTATCACTATTTTGATCCTATCATGTAAAATACACATGTATCTTAGAAGATTTTTATTGCACTGTGAATGACTTCCAGAATGTATTCTGTGAAAACTGTTAGTGTCAATAATGAAATGGCTTCTGTAATAGTCCCTTTATCAAGCCAAGAATACATTCACTTCTTCAACTGTAATCACTTCTGCAGTTACCTTTTCTTGGAGTGAGCCACCATGACGTACACTGAGAAACAATCCCAAAGACTACATAAATACCCTTAGGCAGTTTCAGAAGTTTAGGCTACTAAGAAACACAAACAACCAAATCCCTTTGGTTACATTTATGCCGTCATATAAGGGACAGGATTTGAAGGTACTTTTCCAGCTATTCAGTCCTGAAATCCCTTGGGTTGGGTTAATTTGCACTTGCTACATTGTTTCTAGTTATTGGTATGTTCATTTTGGACACTGAGCTATTTAGGTAGTCTGTACTGCTGTAGCATGCTGGCTGATAGGTACCATATTTGATGGTCATTATTGGACCATAATATATGGCCAAACTCTCCCAACTGTTAATTTAGCTTTTATCAAGAAGGTGATTGATTTGAATAGGAGATATCCAACATTTTCAAGATGTGTGACATGCTTGGTTGTCTGAGGAGAGAAAAACTAATATTTGGTTTGAAAGCTACAGATAATTAAAAAACATATGATAATGGAAAACTTTTCATTAACTGAACCAGTTGTTAACTGGTTCTATAAAGTCTACTCAGTATTTTAAAACCAAGATCATTTATAGAAAGTTAATGAGCCAGGAGGTATTCAGATGTAGGAAGCGCTTCATTTAAGATGGATTAAAAGTTAGGCATATCATTTTGCACTTTGGAAGCATTCAACTTTGAATGCAGTGTAAAATGTAGCTCACCTAATTTGATCCAATACTGTTAAGGAAATTGTTGTTGGCTTTTGCAGGGTTGCCAAGAACAATACACTTACATAGTCTTCTGTTTATCTTCTGCTGAGCCATAAAGACGTTTTCAGTTAATGATTGTAATTCTTTTATAGAACTTCTGAGTCGAGCTGAAGTAGAAAGGGCCTTCAGAGTGTTTACTTTTGAAAGCCTGAGGCTGACTGGGCTGAGTGACTCTGGTCTCCTGGGGAGCTCCGGATCTACGATTGGAGGTGATTGTGAAGTGTCTTATATCCCTTGGGATAATACAGCCAGGTTTGCAGGACAGCTGAGACAACTCTTCCTTATGGAAGAGAAGTTTAATGGAGAATCTCCAAGAGATTGTGGAAAAAAATTCTCTGTTTACATTACTCCTGAAGAATTGGAATACACTATTTATTTTACCATTTCATTTGCTCTTACAGGGCTGTGATTTTATTATTTTTTTTTCTGGTACAAATCACCAGGAAAAAAACAAGACACTTGAATTTTCAAATATTGTATAGTCTGTATTTTGAGTATGTATGTAGGAATACTAGGTAAAGACTAAAGCTAGCTGTTTTATATGACAAAATTAACAGTTTGTGTAAGCAACTCTCTAAAATGATGTTTGTTGAAAATTATGTACACAATTCTGTACATAAACCAGAAAAACCATGTGCATAAACCATAATAAAAATTATGTACATAAACCAGAAAACTGGTTTGTGATTTATTACATCAAAGATATTTCATAGACCTAAAATACTGAAGATAGGCTTAAATACCTTTCTGAGGAAAGGCTCTTGTGAGTTATGACAGCAGCCCAGTCTTTACAAAGTCAGTTACAGGCACAGAGTGGTGTATCGGGGCTGGAGCACCTCCCATACGAAGACAGTCTGAGGAAGTTGGGGCTGTTCAGCCTGGAGAAGAGACGCTGAGTGAAGACTTCAGAGCAGCTTTCGGTATCTGAAGGGGGCCTACAAGGATGGGTGATGGGTTCAGACTTAAACAGGGGAATTCAGGTTAGATATAAGGAAGAAGTTGTTCCCTCTGAGGGTGGTGAGGCACTGGAACAGGCTGCCCAGAGAAGCTGTAAATGCTCCATCCCTGGCAGTGTTCAAGGCCAGGTTGGACAGAGCCTTGGGAGACATGCTCTAGTGTTAGGCGTCCCTGCCTATGGCAAGGGGGTTGGAACTAGGTGTTCTTAAGGTCCTTTCCAACCCAAACCATTCTATGATTCTATATATCAGGTTCATTAGATGATTACTAGTGAATGAGTAGTAAGAAATGCAATGAATATAGAACTTACACATGAGGACTCTAGAGAGGGATATAAAAAGCTGAAAAAGAAAAAAAAGTCTGCTATACGTTGTAATTACCCATGCATACATACCTTTAACTTTTTTCTCCCAGGCTTCCCTGTTCTTTCACATGTAGGTTAATCCAGTAGAGTTTTGACATCCAAAGTTTGAGGTCAAATTCA